TTTTTTTTTTTTTTTTTTTTTTTTTTTTTTTAATAGCAAAAGCTTCTTTACCATTTTGAGATGAATACTCTTTTTGTTTTTTGATTTTAAATTTGAATTTAGTTTGTATTAGTTCCTGGGATTTTAAATTTTTCATTTTTGGTTTTTGAGATTTACATTAACTCATTTAAAAATTACATTTTTGTGCCTAATTAGAAATTAAGGTTCAACTAAACCTTCTATTTGGAAACTAAATATTTCACTCTTAAACACAAATAACATACTAATAAGTTTTTAAAATTAAAAAAAATGGCAAGATTGAAATAAAATAGTTTGTAACCCAAATATGATTTATACACTGCCAGCTAAATCAATTCAGACACATCAGAATTTCTACTCCAAAAGTACAAAATTGATTTATATATTTAAGCATTAACTAAAATTAGTAATATAATCATAAAAGCAGTAAGCACTACTTTTTTTCAATTTTGATAAAAGACAAATTCCAAATGCATCAAAGGCAAGATACTAATTACTTTACCGATAGCGAGAGGAGAATAACGAGTAAGAACATAAAGGAGTAGATGTTCAAATGAAGGAGAACTAACCAAACAGTTTAGAGCCGAGGAAACGAAGCCGACTTGACTCAACTGGGTAATCTCAACCGAGGAATAGATGATAGAGAGAGTAGTTTCGGACACGCGGGCCAAGAAGCTCTAGACAATTCTCAGGTCGATCATGGTTCCAAGAAAGTCGTTTATGTATTCCTTGGTTCGGCTCACAAGTATCATGAACCGGGTTCACTTGGGAGTAATAAAGGTTCGTCTTAGCAAATGGAGAGACTGGGCCGGCCCAGGGCTGTGACGACGACGTATTGGTCCATTATTTTCCCCTTGGAGTCCGTATAACATAAAATTGCGTAATTACAAACTCTGCCCCATCTGCCCTTTCTGCCCGTCTCTGTGCAGGCCTCCATCTTTATCCTTCCTTCTCCATTGTTTCACTCTCACACTGCGTCGGTTCGTCTTCAATTTCCATAGATGCTTCTTCGTACTCCTTCTTCTCTATTTCCTCCTTCACTTTCCATTAACCATACCTCATCAAAACCCTAACTTCAGTTTCTTCCGATCTCTCTCTCTTTCTCCATGTCTGCTCTTGCCGGTACTTGCGATCCGCTGCTACATTCGCTGTTCACGAGGTTGCTTTTCGAATTCTAGAAGTTAGAGGTTCGTAATTTTTGTCGATTTCTAGTTTGAGGACTGATTATCATTAGGTATGAAGCGGGAGTTAGCTTTTGCTTTGGAGGTTCAGTCTCAGCTTGAGGAGACTCTTGGGCATACTCGTAGTGAGACTCTAGTTGAGGCGAGGTCGAGTAGTTATTTAGATGAAGCTGCTAGAAGTGGTGGCTGTAAGAGATTTAAAGGCTGTGTTGTGAATGGTTTGATTGTGTATACGAGGGTAAGGAGGTCTCAGATCAATGTGTACAGCGGGCTGGATAATCAAATTAGAAACAATTGTAATAGCGCGGTGAAGATTGAAATTCCTGGAAGCTTGGAAGTTGGGAAGGGCAGTAGGACTGAGGAGGTTCAAATTAAGACTATAGGCTTAGATAAATCAAATTGCAATCCTGTGAGTTCTGTTTGTGAGAAGGAGTCTCATGGGGCGGTGGAAAAATCTGCCGATAAGGAAGAAGGGGCCGAGGGGTGTCCTTTGGCTATGGCAGAGGCGAGAGAAGTTGAAGAGAATTTGCCCGGGTGGGGAGTTAAGCGGTTTACGCGCTCGTCATTAAAACCGAAGGTTGAGCCCGAGGAGGGCCCCTCAATTACAATAAGCTCTGTTAAAGACGAAGTTATTTCAGGCGTGGTCGGGGAAACAATTGAAACAGTCAACTCTCTGTCAACTCCGAAGAATAAGTTGGAATTAAAGATGTCGAAAAAGATTGCATTGAATAAGCGGCCAATGACTGTGAGGGAGCTCTTTGATACTGGTTTGCTCGAGGGTGTCCGTGTCATCTACATGGGTGTAAAGAAGGTTGGTTGGCTTTTTGCTCAATGAACCTCTCCAATTCTAAATTTTTACTTCACAGTATGTTTAATCATTTAGAATTTTGCATGTGATACATATTTGGGAACTGGGTTTATCTACGTGCTGCATTTTGATCTCAGGCACATGATTACGGTCTGCGCGGTACAATTAAAGATGGTGGGATTTTGTGCACATGCTCGTCCTGCAATGGATGCAGGGTATGTAATCTCTTTGGATTTAACATGGGAAATCTTCAAATGATTTTTGCTAGTGTTTTCTGAATTTTTCTTCTTCTTCTTCAATCTAGGTAATTCCTCCTTCGCAATTTGAGATTCACGCTTGTAAACAATATAAACGAGCAGCTCAGTACATATGTCTTGAGAACGGGAAGAGCCTTCTCGACCTGTTGAGAGCATGCAAGGGAAGTAGGCAGACACTTGAGGTCACTATTCAAAATCTGATTAGCTCTTCTCCAGAAGAAAAATATTTTACGTGTAGAGATTGTAAAGGTGAAATTCTGGTTTTCTAATGTTTGTCGCCACTAGCAGGCGTCATAATAAGGCACAACCAAAACCCAGTAGTTTATAAGAATTATAATCTGTTTGATAATTTCTGTGTTTTACGATGTCTAGGATGCTTTCCTTCATCCATTGGACAAGTGGGACCTTTATGCTCTTCATGCGAGGAATCAAAGCGATCTCAGTGTACGCCGTCATTGGCAACTCCCCCCACTTCCCCAATTAATAAGAAACTGAGGTACGGTATATACTTCTTTCAACTTCAGTTGTCTCCCTGTTCTCTGGAATAAGATTTTTCCTATTCTATGCTCGTGTAGTTATGATTGTATTATCATGGGTGCGGATTCATCATTTTATTTCGACCCTTTTCTATTGCCCGAGCCCAATTGCTTCGTTGCATGTTATGGGTTCTGGAAAATTAATTTAGAATTTTGTATTCTTCCCTGGCATGTCTTCTACTATGGCATCGTATCCAGTTATATCTTTATGTAATAACTCTCCATGACGGCTAATTGCATGAACTGTTACCCGAAGTATCTTCTTTGCAAGTTCAAGCCGTGGAGAACTCTAATCAGATAGTAAAATTTATAAGTAAAAAATGGGTGATGTAGCGCTTATAAATAAAGCTGGGATTATTAATGCATGTAAGACTGATGTAATTTCTTCAACAGTGTAACTTTTGGCGCCATTAACTAAAAAGTGTGAATTCTGTAAATTTATTACAATTTAAATCATGAATGCACAAAAAGGGCAGAATTTTTTTTTCTTCAGTATCTTTAAGATGTTATTTCTTTAAAACTAGTTTTGTTTTTCAGGTCAACAGAGCCTACCACATCAAAATCACCTGGAAGTGCTCCAGTACATATCCCTTCACGATATAAACGTAAATGGGAGATAAAAGCAAAGTTAGTATCATTTTGTCTCGTGCTATTTTACCATCACTACTGGCTAAACTTTTTTCTTTTTTATAATTCCACTTCCTTTCTGTTTCTCCCTGGCATGTTTGGTGGTTGAAGTAAAATTTAATGCCTTTCCATTAAGATAGCAGCATCCTATTTCTTTTTCTGAGGTGCTCAACTTTAATAGCTTTTCAAGCTCAATCACTGGTATAACTTTCAGGTCAAAATTGTCCGAATACATTTCCATCTCAAGGTCTTCCAAAAGCGCACCCTTGCGTGTCCCTTCAAAGTACAAGAGTGCATTGAAGATGAGAAAAAAGTTAGTGCAGTTTGTCTCCAGATTATTGTTTTTACCCACTTTGATATTTTACTTGATTTTTTAAAAAATATCTTTAACTTTTACTGTAGCTTGTACTTGTTTGTAAAATGGAAAATTAATGTTATTGAGGTTTCATATTTCTGTGTAGGAAGTAATAATACATAATCAAACTAGTTGCTTATTTTTATCTAGTATATTGGTTCAGTTTAATTCTTCTATTACTTCGTTGAATATTTTATGGTTCTTTTATATTTTAATTTTCTTGTAAGCTTAAAACAGCCGAATTTAGGTTTTCTTTAGAAGGTCTGAACGTGAATGAATTAAGTGTTTTTAGATAGCCTTCTCTCATTTTGGAAATTTCTCCTTGTTTCCCATGGGTTTGGCTTAATCCATTGTAACACACAAACCTACTGCATTAGTTTGATCTGAGGCATTGATTCCTTCTAGGGAGGTATGATGGCCATGTATAGCAATTGGAGTTGAATGAGTTGAGGTGGAGTGACCATCATAATTTTTCTTTTTTGTTAGATCTAACATTTCGAACCTTTTAGGTAGTTTCCATCATCTTCATCCCAATGGTATAAAACCGTTGGAGCAGCGTAAAATTTTTATGTAAAGGGGCCATAATTCTCTCAACACTCAGAGATGTATTCTTTTCTTAAGTTCTTTGTTTTTTTATTTTTATTTTTATTTTAAATCTCTACCTAGGTGGTCCTTATATAGGCCTTTTGGAACATCTTCTATGACTATATATGTTCCAAATGTTAAATAACAAATCTGACTTATACATGTACTATCGTGATGGTGATTCATGAATAATCTAATACATTTATAATGTAATGAAT